TTAAGTTACTTCTACTGCACAAATGTAGGGAAAAGTACTGTCTCACATAAAAAAATTACTCCACTAAGAGAAAGCTTTGCATTAGTTCCACCCAGAAAGGAATGCTTTCTCTCCCTGCTGATGAAATCAATCCTCTCTGAGGCTGCTCCATGTTACTGATCAACTACATTTATGTAATTGTTGAAAAAAGCAAAAACAAAACAAACTAACAAAAAACACATACATATATATGTTTATCTATATGTGTATATATAATTTTATACATATATGATTATACATATATAAAAAATCGTTGAATAGACAGTAAAATGTGAAGCCAAGGCCTAATGAGATAAGGCACAATATTAGCTAGAAAATACTGTCATACTCCAAGACAAGAATTTCTAACTTTACAAGGAATTTGATACAATAGCTCTACTTCTGCATTCGAGGCATTTCTTCATATTTAATGAGACCATTGATTTCAACACTCTATAGAGAGCAGCTGAGTGTCTCAAAAGGCAAATCACTATTCGTACAACCAGCTTCCTGGTCAAGAGCTAGCACAAGTCTCACTGAGTTCTCTGCTCCAAGTATTTGTGGACCGTTAACTGACAGTACTGACAATCTTACGTATTTCCATTGTTTTATTTGTATCCTTTTTTTCTTTACTGTTCTAATTTCTTGGAGTTTTTTCCCATTAAAGATTCAACCATATAAAACTGAATATTACATGCATTTTAAATATAGAACTGTATGAATTAGTGTCAATGATAACTGCAATTTTTCATGTCAGATGAGTAATGTGCTGATATCACAACAAGGTTTGAGAGAGGCACATCTTACACATGCTCGTGAATCCCCAATCATAAAACTTATGAACAAAAGAATTGTTAATTGAATTTTTGATGTAAGATGATTCATACTACCATAGGTTTGTCAGGAATAAATTCTCTTCCCAAGGTAAAAGACCATTAAAATCAGAAAAATTTTTACAGCACTAACATTAGCTAAATTTCAGAATTATTAATTTGCCCGAAATGAACATATCCTGTAATCAACCCCCAAAATTTGAACAAATAGCCTAATAATGTGAAAGAAAGAGAGAAGACAGAGAAGAAAGGAAGGAAGGGAGGGAGGGAGGAAGGAAGAAAGGAAGGAAGGGAGGGAGGGAGGGAGGAAAGCAAGCAAGGAAGCAAGAAAAGGAAAAACCTAGAGCCTTAGACTGGGAGTTAGGGAATCTGGTTCTGGTTTCAGTACTTCCCTAGCCGTGTGGCCTCAAGTGACTCATTTACAGACAGATGATGGGTTTGACTAGCCTGATGGTTCTCAAATTCTTTACTACCTTTCTGAGTTTTTTTCCACTGACGGTATTTGAAAATATACACTGTCAAGAAACTTCCTGTATTAAAAAGCTTGTTTTTCCAGTTTTACGAAAGAACTTTAATTGCCGATCAGAACCTTTAATCACCAGACAGTAACCATATGATTTAACAGTGATCCATAAAATTCTCTAATTCTACAAAAGGATATTCCAAATCCAAAATCCAAGTAGGTGAATCTTAATAATGAAAATAATGCCTCCCAACATTAAAACAGAACATCGAGAATTTTGAAAACACAACACATAGGTGAAATCACAACAGATTTATAACGTAGCAAGTATGCATGGTGGAACTTGTGGCTTGAGATTTAAGAGGCCTCCCAAGATCATACATGTATTAGATAGCCGGGTGGGACTGGAATCCCAAATTTTTGAGTTCAGTCTTTAATGTGTATTAATTCTATAAAATGAACCTCAGACACTTTTGAGACCCTCACAGAACTTAACAATCAACTGTATTACCTTAATACTTTTAATGTGAGATGCTGCCTTCCCAAGAGCCTTTTCTGCA